TACTGTAACTTTGATCAAATCATTTTTAAGCAAGAGTCGAATTAGGCGCTCTTTAAAATCTTGGTACAAAGATGATTGTACCTCCAAAAAGGCAAAATGGCAAAGCAAATGTTTTAACAGAATTGAACTTGGCCCTTTTCTGTTATTAATTTCAATGTCTCAAATACTTTCTGTGAATATAAACAAAGTATTCCTTTGATTGTAATTAGGATTATGGTTCTTTTTCAGTTTGTGCATTCTGCCAGTGGCAATATCATGCACTGACTTAACCTCGGAATATTCAACAAATTCATCCTTTATGTTGACCCATTTCTTACAGCACCCATAATTGTTTAAAATAGCTGTAATCAAAATGGTAGCAGGCTCTTCACATATTATGCTCTACTAAGAACAACCGACTCCCCATTGTCAAAAGTTAAAATTTCTCACATTATGTTTTATCCTTTCTAAAAAGGAGGGGCGATCGGGTAGCCTAGTGGTTAAAGCGTTCGCTCGTCACGCCGAAGACACGGGTTCGATTCCCGACATGGGTACAATGTGTGAAGCCCATTTCTGGTGTCCCCCGCTGTGATATTGCTGGAATATTGCTAATAGCGGCGTAAAACCAAACTCACTCACTCACTCTAAAAAGGATCACAGTACCTAAAGAAATATGATAAGTCAGTTTCCCCACGTTTACTGGCCTCCAAAGACTGCCGACGGTTTAAAGAACGTGTGATTGAGTGTATGTTGTTTTATGCTGCAGCATAAAGCATACTATCAGTTTACACACGGTGGCCTGTAAATAACGGACTTTGGCTCAGCCACACCATTGACGCAATCAGACAAGACACAGAGCCTGACCTTCCTATTCCCAGTGTATGCGTTTGTGTATGCGTGTGTGTATGCGTGTGTGTATGCGTGTGTATGGCTGCTTGTACTAGTCCGGTCAAATGCCGATTTTATGGTGCTAGCCCACTGAGATACCACGCCGCAGTTTAACATGAAAACCCATTCAGACACAGTGTACTACTAAATCCTAATGATGCCACTTCGGTACCATAATTGTATTTTTTTCAAATCGAAATTTCTCATTATTTCAATTATTTTCTCGTTACTTCGAGTTTATTTTAAAAACTTGAAAATTCGAAACTATTTTCTCGAAATTCCGATTTTATTTCTCGTAACAGCAATTATTTTCTCATTACTTCTCGTTTATTTCAAAACCTGGAAAATTCGAAACTATTTTCTCGAAATTCCGAGTTTTTTCTCCTGACTTCAATTATTGTCTCGTCATTTCAATTATTTACTCAAAATTTCGATTTTATTTCTCGTAACATTGATTATTTTCTCGTTTCTTCAATTTTTTTCTCGTTATTTCAAAACTCGAAACTTCGAGTTTTTTTCTACTCACTTCAATTATTTTCTCGTTATTTCGATTATTTTTTCAAAATTACCTTGAAATAACGCGAAAATACTGGAAGTAACCAGAAAAAACTCGATATTTCAAGAAAATAATTGATGTAACGAGAGAAAAAAAAAAATGTCAAGTTTTTTAAATACAATTGAAATAACTAAAAAATAATCGCAACAACGAAAATAAACTCAACGAAAAATCAACGTCTTTTCGTGTGACGCGACTGGTGAACGAACCCCGAACATTCCGCTCTCCGGGTGGACACTCTCCCACTATACCACGGAGGCGGTAATTTTGACCAAGAAAACAAAGGGGTTTCGTAAATGTAGCTCACACATGCAACATGTTGTAGTATGTTTGACAGATGCGGAGACGACGAAGGGCGACGTTTATGGTCGATATCATGCTTATTTTTAGAATGTTAGCATTATCCTATTGATGGTTTCAGTTTATGAGACCGTGACGACTGTGAGTCATAGTTGATGATATACTTCTTGTGTTTTCAATTCAGAAACAGACTTTTTTCGAGTGTATGTCTTATTTGAAAACTCTTAATTCTGCTTTGAATTGAACGCTTTCTAAATTTACGCATTTGTTTTAAAACGCTTGTGTGGCCATGCACCATTCACAGCATAATCTCTTAGGATTATCTCTTAAGCAAATACTTTTGTGACTGTGTTCTATGGTATCTGGCCGACTGAAAGCGAGGTCAAATAACATAGAAAGTTCTATGGTATCTGGCCGAGCGAAAGCGAGGTCAAATAACATAGAAAGTTCACGAGTTTCGTACAAATGGTATCTAACGAGAATGAGTGTGGTATTTTATTTATTACCCACGTTAAATATGTATGTAAGTGTAAATACATAACAACTTTTGTTCGTTGACAGACCAAACTGAAACCGGTTGCAAAATCTGGTTGCGCATGAATATTGATATATGCCCAAATATGGGCATTCCTTTACATGCCTATGCATACGTATTAACAACATGCACCTGCAGTTGTGTTTTCAAACATAACAACACCGACGTTCAAGATCCTTTTGGAAGAATTTCTTCAACTTATGAGAATTCAAGCGCCTTGTTGTTAGTACGCAGGACACCTATAAGAACATTTGAAAAGTCACATAAGCGCCGCGCTTTGAATATCGGACCAACTGTTGGTCACTCGCACTACCGGGGTCCCGTCTGTGCATTCAAGATGGTTCGATTTCCTTGATCTATCAGCTGAATTTATATCATGTCCGTACCATTTTGGAAGAGGGAAATCAGAGTGTTCGCCAAAGACATTCATGTATACTTTACCACCCTTTACTGAAGACGTGAAAATCAACACGCTCAAGTCTCCTAGCATGTCAGTGACAGCTTCGAACGAAGGGCAAGGTCACCACCGGAATAAGACAGGAGTCATCAGAAAGATGACATATCCCCCCGGCAGCTGTCTGTAAAGTAACCACTAGTAAATATGCAATTCTGTATGTAATGGGTCAACAGTTGAATGTTCTTTAAGAAGCATACATTGTTTACCCACTGAATGATTTTCGAATTCTGCCCCGGAAACGAACCCCATCCCCAAATGAGTCTTTGTCCAACTTCATTCGATAAAAATTTATAAAAAAATAAAAATTAGAAAAATCCCAAAATATCAAAAGGCACCACTTCAGTATGTGCCTGATAGCTTTGCCAAGTTTCAATCAAATACACTGAATGGATTTCGAATTCTGCCCCGGAAACGAACCCCATCCCCAATTGAGTCTATGTCCAACTTCAGTCCATAAAAATTTAAAAAAATAAAAATTAGAAAAATCCCAAAATATCAAAAGGCACCACTTCAGTATGTGCCTGATAGCCTTGCCAAGTTTCGATCAAATACACTGAATGGTTTTCGAATTCTGCCCCGGAAACGAACCCCATCCCCAATTGAGTCTATGTCCAACTTCATTCCATAAAAATTTAAAAAAATAAAAATTAGAAAAATCCCAAAATATCAAAAGGCACCACTTCAGTATGTGCCTGATAGCTTTGCCAAGTTTCGATCAAATACACTGAATGGTTTTCGAATTCTGCCCCGGAAAAGGAAATGATTACGGACGGACAGACGGACGGACTGACGGACGGACAGACAGACTTGCTGATCGCTATATCCCCCCCATTATATGCCGGGGGGATAAAAAGACAACCGTGATCTACTAAGCGTGAAAACCGCTAGAGATAGGGAATGTTATTGTTCCCCTTTGAGATATTTGGGGCCACATAATCAGAAATCAGGCACACTTCTACGGAGTTTTCGAATGATTTGTATCGGAAATGTTCACTTTGAGTGATCTGGTCGTGCAGTCGTGAACAAACGACTCCCGAAACAGTGCCACAAAATAGGCTTCGAAGAGGACATTGATGGCACAACCGGTTCATCCCAAGTAAGTCTAGATATCTGTCCAGATAGTTTAAATTGACTTCATTTCACCACGCTTATCCTTTTACGTTAAATCAAATTGGAAGTTGCGAAAGTAGTCGGGTGCGTCACGCTCATTGGGATCCACGATCTATTGAACGGTAGTCGTACATTGTAAATTGATATAGCTCAATTATATAATGTCTGTGGAAGCTCAATGCATAACTTATATAGGATGCAAACCGAATTTGATGCGTGTGACTATCTTGTTTGATTTAATAAAGTGTTTGTTAATATCTCTCGCTCACATGAGATAGCTTCAGTTCTGCCTTGTAGTTGCAAAAATGAATGACGTCTCGCAATTTTTATGAATGAAAAAAGTAGTCCCGGTGTGACAGACGTCACGGTTATCCAATCAAAACGAATAAAACAAGGTCATCCTTGTACGACACACTCGTGACGTACGGATTTAGTATCTTACCACCTGTATCTTCAGGTGGGTAATAATTGTTTAAAGCATGTAGACAGATCACTGAAAATTGACACCAGGCTGTCGCGAGAAGGGTAAACACCCGTCTTTCACAGAGTGTTTGTTTCCATACAGACTCAAACTCGTCTAATATATACAAGTGTTTTTACATGCCATTTATATTATTCAAACCAGTGTTTGTTTGTTGCGTGTGTTGTTTATTCCACCTATTTGACGGCGGTCTGTAAATAATCGAATTAGGACCAGACGATCTAGTGACTGACATCATGAGCATCGATCCACGCAATTGGGTTGGTTGGTTGGTTGGTTGGTTTATCGTCGCACTCAGCAATATTCCAGCTATATGACGGCGGTCTGTAAATAATCCGAGTCTGGACCAGACAATCCAGTGATTGATATCATAAGCATCAATCCACGCAATTGGGATCGATGACCGTGCATCAACCAAATCAGCGAGCCTGACCACCCGATCCCGTTAGTCGCCTTTTACGACAAGCATAGTCACCTTTTATGGCAAGCATTGGGTGCTGAAGACCTATTCTACCCCGGATCTTCACGGGTCTCCACGCAATTGGGATACAATGACATGCATCAACCAAGGCAGCGAGCCTGACCACCCGATGCCGTTAGTCGCCTCTTACGACAAACATAGTCGCCTTTTACGGCAAGCATTCTACCCCGGATCTTCACGGGTCTTCAAACCACTTAACAGGCTAAAGCGGTATAATTGCAAGTGACGTCACTTTATTCAAATTCTGATTACATTTGATTCATGTCGAGTTCCTTCGGTACCTAAAACAGAAAACTCAAGTTGTGATAATGTGTATTTGAAGAGCAGCAAAACTGTTATAGGGTCACTTTTAACTGCATGTCAACATAGAAGACATATTATATGTATTTTAATTTGAACTTACAAAATAAGGAATAGTGTTTTTGTTAAAAACAGAAGCTAATGTTAGTCAATCTCTTCATCGCTGGAAGGCGTCTTTTACTCATCAATAGAATTAAAGTAAAAATGCGGTGAGGTGAACGGGTATAAATACAATACACATTGCACATACCTTCAACCGTCTCACTGGCTTGTGTCGAGGAGTGCTTCCTGTACGTATCTTTCCATAACGTCACGTGTGACTCGACGATCACCTGCACAATTGTGACACATAGTCATGTATATGAACAGAAAATGTGACATGTGTCATTGTAATTCAAATACAAAGATATACTGAGACTCCTAACTGTGTATACAGTATAACACTTCTCAAGACGTTTGTTACATTTTTCAACTCCTGCTGATGGGGAATGAAAATAACCAGACATTTCACCATATCGTAAAACACACAGTTACCGCCGAGGCTAAACTTTTAAATTTCACGGAGACAAGATCGACATTGCTTCGGTTCTGGTCAGTATTCTACTCCTATACGATACCAAAGTCTGATATACTTTTACTTTTCCATATTATTAGTTATGTCTTTAGTTGCCATATACGGTGTCATATTAGGCTAGAAGAAAAATATTGGGCGAGGTGTCATATTTTTCTGCTAACCTAAAATGACACCGTATACGGCAACTTAACACCATAACGAATTTATTATGCCGAAAAGTTTACACTATTTGGTATCTTTGTCGCAAATATCATGTCAAAACTTAAAACTCAAAACTTAACGCTTACAACCTGAGACGTTAAGGGTCAAAGGGAGACTAGGCCGAACCTTGTTGATAATTTTAACTTTATATAATCTTTGTTAAAGTCACGAACGTGATCCCAAAAAACATTAACGTCCTTGCACATCAAAATGAATTATATTATTATATAAACACAAAACAGTGTCGAATAACGACTTTGTGTACCAGAAATATCATGTGGAATATGTGAGGTGGGTGTTGAAAAATCCAAAATTGCTGTTCAGACGGTCTTATATTAGGTCAGTAACAACCATCTTGGATTCTTACTGACGGTATACGGGCTCATGTGGGGTCAGTAGTCATGATTGGTCAATCTCACTTTGAGGCATAATAATGGTATACCTACCCTGTTCATCTGCAAAGTGCAGCAAGTCATCAGCATCACGTTGCTCCATGTGCTGCTTTAGTTCAGCCTCAGTCAAGATACCATCGCCGTTCAGATCGACATCCTCAACACTTCGTCCATTCAAGAGTAGCCTTACGCCTAACAGATATGGATATATTAAGTAATCATTTGACCTGCAATTCGAGAATTTCCGTCAAAATAATTGTGCATTGTTTTGCGGTCATGCAGAGATGCCACTATTGATGAGACCAAGTATGTGTTCTAGAACGATTGCGTAGGAACAATGAAATGCCACGAGTGGTTGCTGAAAAGTTCTGAATCTAACTAGGATGAACTGCGTTGGTGGAGTTTGTTGCAAGGTATGCTGTTACATAATGCAGGTTGTAAGCATGGGAAGTATTGTACTTAATACTGTACTTGCATTCTATTAAGTGTGTACTATACATTTTCGTAGTGAGGCTCAGAACCTTACAGACACCCCTCTATTCTTCAGCATAAACAGGGAATGTACCGTGTCTTATTATTGTTCCCTTGTGTTGTTGCCATAGGTTGCGCGCTCCTGACTTGACTCTGCGCCACCATCCGCCGCCCGACACGTCAGTTACAGTCAGGGCCACAATAACAGTCAATAGCAGAAAACGCATCTGAAAATGGAGAGAGAAAATATAGAGTTCTTAATATCTGCACTTGTAGGCAGCCAAAGGAATACCGTTTAAAGTTTTAACAACATCAGAAACGCGCTATCGTGTCACTGCATTGTCTGGTCAAGAATCGTTTGTTTACAGGCTGTCGTCATATGGCAGGATTACTGTTGTGCAGCTCAAGACAACAAACAAACACTTACTTTATTTGGCAAATTGTGTGAGGGGCGGGTGCTACGCAGATTATTTAACACTATATTGCCATTCACGCCCATTGTTTACTAATATTTTGACACTCACACCCAATGTTTACCACTATTTTGACATTCACGTCCAATGTTTACCACTATTTTGACATTCACGCCCGATGTTAACCATTATTTTGCCATTCACGCCCAATGTTTACCACTATTTTGCCATTCACGCCCAATGTTTACCATTATTTTGCCATTCACGCCCAATGTTTACCACTATTTTGACATTCACGCACAATGTTTACCATTATTTTGACATTCACGCCCAATGTTTACCACTATTTTGACATTCACGCCCAGTGTTTACCACTATATTGCCATTCACGCCCAATGTTTACCACTATTATGACATTCACGCCCACCAATCTTTACCACTATTTTGACATTCACGCCCAATGTTTACCACTATTTTGACATTCACACCCAATGGAATGTGTTACGGCAGATTATTCTTACACTCATAACAATCGTGACCCGTGAAGACCTGGGGTAGAATAGGTCTTCAGCGAACCATGCTTGTTGTAAAAGGCGACTATGCTTGTCGTAAGAGGCGACTAACGGGGCTAACTGACTTGGTTGATGCATGTCATCGTATCCCGAATGCCAATAACTGGATTGTCTGGTACATACTCGATTATTTACAGACCGCCGTCAAATAGCTGGAATATTGCTGAGTGCGGCGTTAAGCAACAAACAAATCATAACAGTCGTACAATGTACTGAGCACATTAAACAAGGTTCATTGGGTGTGAAAGAACAGGATCACAGGATTATCTGGTCCAGATTTGGAGTCATGGAATATTGATGAGTGCGGCACCGCGTTGGCCGAGTCAAGATATGGTATGTACATGTCTTAGCACTACTTCAAAAGTCTAAAATTGAGGTTGAAATGAACAATGCGTTGGTAAATGAGAGATCATAAATATAACCAACTGTTATGAAGTGTTATCCCCCATGTCATAACCACCAACGTGATGTGTGAGGAAATCCCAAATCGGAGATGGAAGAAAGACACAACATCGATGTCATATGGACACAATAATCGGGTAACCTGCCAATTTGACAGCAGTTCCACGCGGAGAGGACTACATCATGAAATGCAGCCCACACGACACTGTCACGACATCAGTGTTGATAGAAGCATGGGTTCAGGTGCAGTCCAAAGACAACCAATCCTTAGCGTGATCTGTTAATTCTGGTCCCAAATACCAACGTAATAACCAGGTTCAGATTTAATCACCATGAGTTTGTATTATATACATATACGTATAAAGTAATGCCTTATTGCGTATGTGACGCTCTCGCATTTTAAATAAAATGTTAGCATGCACGAATTTGCAGTAACAAGTTGATAAATTTTGCTTACATTTTATAAATTATGTGTGCATTGCACGTGCATATATATACAATTGGTCAAATTGATAATAGGGTTTAACGCAACACAATACAGAATATGTATTTGTACAGTAAAGCTTATTTGATAAACTTTGTTATGGAGCAATCGTCTTACAGATATGTCATAAAATACAGTGTATAACACGTTATAAATAGACATCATCTCGCTATTGTCCTTTATATGTTTCGACGAATACATTATTATCTATTACGAGACCGCCTCTGTGGTCTTCCGGATAGAGCGTCTGCCCGGAGAGCGGAAGGTCGTGGGTTCGATCCCCGGCGGCGTGATACCAAAAGACGTTGAAGGATGGTACTTGTTGCTACCATGCCTGGGACTCGGCGTTAAGGACTGGTCGACTCGGAGTATACTACGTCTGAGTTCATGTTAAACTGCGGCATGGTACCTCAGTGGGCTAAAACTATAAACTCGGTATTAGTCCGGACTAGTACAAGCAGCCACATACACATGTATGTGCAATCATCTTGAACGCGACGTTAAACCCCATTTCACCTCACCCCACACCTATTACGCAATACACTACTGCACATAGTTCATATCAAATATTAAAGGAAGGATATCACTTTTTAATTGCATTCCCTAAGTGTATGTGCACATATATTCACCTTTTTTTACCATTCATATAGTCTAACCGCATTAAGGAAAACAGAGGCAAAAGGCGACAAGATTAACCGATAAAAATATACGTTGATTGTGTATATTGAACAAAATATAGCGCTATAAGATGCACATCATATTTGAATATATAATGAAAGCAGCGAATAGTAGATAGAAGTCTATTTCAAAAGCGCCCCCGCCCTAAACAAATTACTCTACATGTGTTCTTTGACGGGAAGAGTTAAGGTTAAGTCTTGTCAATGACGTTCACTGTTTCTTTACATGGTGTATCATATGTTATATATTAATTACAAATTCTGCGGTTATTTGAACAACGCAAATCCAACCTCAAATAATTATTAGGTCTGCCTTCAGTGTTTAAGTACCGTGTCAAAGCGAAAATATATTTAAGCATCAATGGTGTACCTAGAAGTGTCTTGAGGAAAGAATAAATGTTTTACTTACCTTGATGGATTACAGATGATGATGGTGTTCGGACTGACAAAGTTTGGCATTCTTATATACACGGCAACTTGTGACAATATTGATTATAATAATAACTGTGGTAGATCCTGATCAAAGCGATTACAAAGATCAGTCACAACGTGTTTCCTGTTAGAAAACACCTTGTAACATTCAAACAGGATGTTACCTATCAGGACAGTTTGTTTGATATTGGCTTAACGCTGAACTTGGCAATATTTTTTGACGGCATTTATTACACATTCTTATTACAATTCTCTCCACTAAAAATAATTTTTCATTATGCTGGTTTTGACCTGCTTTTTCATTGATTTTGTTTTCATAAATGGCATATATTCCACAGTCATGATGCAGGAATAGTCGCAGTCCACTGGCTGAAAATATGTTACTTTTCATGATGTGGCTTCAATACTATGAATACTATGAGTGAGTGAGTTGGGTTAACGCCGCTTTTAACAGTATTCAAGTTATATCGCGGCGTGTCAGCTAAATGTGGGAGGAAAGCCCAAAGTGATGCAGGTCTCAGACGTTTACCACTTCGGTGAAACCCACGAGCACGGGTATGGTGCTGACAAACCTAGAAACATAATCGGGGCGAACCGGGATTCGAACCCACAATCATAGGTTTCTGGCGAGGCAACTCTGCACAGCGAATCACGGCGCCTTAGACGACTGGGCCACCCGTGCCCCCATGAATACTATGAAGTATTTATATTACCTACTGTTGGTATACGGGGATTGAGATACAAGATTAACACACAGGACACTGAAATTCAAACATATGTGATGAATATGAACATAACATGTTTATTAAAATGCAATGTTCTATAAAAGTCAGAAGAATTTGGGCTTGAGTATGTTATTTTCACATGTGTTGGTACTCTATCTGTAAATAAAAATAGTCAATGCCAGGGAAGTCTCGAATGTCTGTCGAAACCAATTACACTGGGTGTGAAATGCAACTTGCTCATATCACAATTCAACAGCTGGTTGCTGATGTTGTATCATTATCTGATACCTATCGAACACGTGCCTATATACAATGTTTGTGAAATATGAAAAGGTGAGCTTCCGTAATATATGGCTCATTAACATTAACTGGTGGTGTTTTTTTACAACACGCGACGCCTGTTGCCGATCCGGGTGCAGGGGATAGATATTGATAGCAATTTCGCCTTGAAATTATTCAGGTTTGACAAGACCATGTAAAGTTTAGGCGAAGACATGTTCCAAGACCGTGAGAATGGGATTAGGATGGGCCACAAGGCTGGGCATAAACAGTCATTCTTAAACCATGCATGTGATCTCGTCATATCATTGGCATGTGTAGAACTGAGTTTATTGAGGCCATACACTTCTACATCCACTGATTTCAATCTGTATCGTGTATTTGTGCTTGGCTATCTGGTATGTATAGAATATAGGTTGTACATGTTCCTACCTTATGCCTCCATAACCCGTCCGAATGCCAGATTCGCCCTGATTATGTTTCTTGGTTTGTCAGCACTATTTTCATGCTCGTGGGATAATGCATATGTACTTTTAGATTTAAATATTTACCTCCGCCGTGTGTTATTTAAAGTAGGTACGATGATTGGACAGCAAGTTATGTTTGTTGGTTTATTTTCTTTATAATTGCACATCAGTACATGTCAATGATGTGCAATTATAAAGTTGGTTGTTTGGTTTATTGTTAAACGCCGCACTCTGCAATATTCCAGCTATATGACGGCGGTGTGTAAATAATCTAGTCTGGACCAGACAATCCAGTGATTAATATCACGCGCATCGATCCACGCAATTGGGATTGATGACATGCATCAAACAAGTCAGCGAGCCTGACCACCCGATCCCGTTAGTCGCCTTTTACGACAAGCATAGTCACATTTTACGGCAAGCATGGGTTGCTGAAGACCTATTCTGAAAACCAGTGTGGAATGATTGGTTGATTGGTTGGTTGGTTGTTTAACGCCTCACTCAGCAATATTCTAGCTAATATTTAGGGGGATACTTCCACCTTGCTGTACAGACACGGATGTAAAATGGAGTACATTTGATGATTATGCTGAGGAGACTCCCTGCAACCTTCCAGTCAGTTGTCCACCCGAGGAAAAAAGGCATATTTAAGATTTTCGTTTCCGCTTTCTCCTGTGTACCTAAATCTTGTTCTATTGCATCAAGGACATATCGGACACGATTTCCAATACATTAAGAGAGAAAATACGTTTTCAATTTCATAAAACATTCAACATTCACTATTCATCGTAATAGGTGCAACTAATGTTTTAACCACACGTATTAGCAGACTGCAGCGATTGCGAGCCATGAAATGCAGTGCCTACAGGGCGGGCTGCACTACGTGATACCGTAACCGACGTCAATCGATGGCTTGGGAGTGAAATGGCGTCGCCGTGAGACGAACATGTCGGAGGAAGGGCAACAGCACGGCGGTTGTTATGTGTGACTACAGTATGTAGCCCAATGTCCTACGCTGAACTATACATGTGCAATTGTGGTTATGAAACTTTTAAAATATTGCTCATGAGTGTGTCCAGAGACAAATATAATTCATAGGGCATCAACAACTCGATCAACGTTATGGCTTTGTCAAACCGATACTGGATACCGGAGATTGCTGGTGTCATCTTGTCATGTTTCTTCCCAGAGAATAACATTCAATTGATTAAAAAGAAGCTATATCACCGATCGATAATTTGTGTGAATGCGTGATCTTGAGTTGACAAGAATGATAGAACCATGTCACCAAGGATACGTTAGATTACCGCGTCATTACGTCAGCTCAATATGACGTTACTAAACAATGTACTAGGATCCAGAATAAACATGGTATCCAGCAACCAATTAAGAATTGGCCTTCACTTTGTGTGAGTTCATTGGAGTATGAACCTTCATATAGAGTGAGGGCCAAACAGTATGAACGTCGGAGCTTGTGAAAGTCAATTCTTATAATTTTTATCACAATTTCTTACCTCAAAGGATGTAGGCCAAGATCTAAACACAATTTTATTTAGTACGTGTGACTTCATGTTTACACTGACAGCCATACAACAACCAGCTATATCGCGGAGTAAAATAGTTCCTCAAAAAGAGAGGTGACATGGGCGTATGGATGCACAACTTGCTCTTCAGAAACATCTTAAGCAGCACATGTGTTCAAATCATATCCTCATTAGATGAGAAAGGTCTGTAGAGAACTACCTCAGTAAGTTAGTCACAATGACAGTCCGTCCTAATACATTTACATCATGTACAAGACGTCAAAATGGCCGACACGATAAACGTGACGGGAGAGATTTCCGAAGTTGGTAATGAATCTGTGGCGGTTACATGTGTTAGTCATCACTGATCGATCAACTGGCCGATCATTGAAAGGTGAATAAAGATGCGTCAAACAGACACAAAGGTAAATACATGGATTGCTGGAGACGGTCAATGTCAGCCTAGGCACGGATCGAGTCGATACTACGATAGTTTAGATGTGCATTTCTTCGTTTGTTCATTAGAATGGGCCGTAGCGAGGATATTCGTGAACAATCATGCAGTCACGCTCCCCGCAGTCCTCAATGTATACTGAAACGCTGAGATCAAGAATAAAGGTTCTAAATGATCAGAAAGAACGCTTATGCATGTTTTCGTGATAGGGAATTCCCAGGGGTTTCCCCAGGAATGTGGAAGTAGTCCGTCAGTGTTTTCGTCATTTCAAGAACACGGTCTCGTGAAAATCGTATGAACGTCAAATTGTGTCGTTCATACACTTATTAACGTCAATTTCGCGGTCATGTGACCGACCTCTCGTCCAATGGAAAAGCCGTATATCGTGTAAACTTCAAATTAAAAAATTATTGCTTGTGGTACGAGGCAACTCAATGGAACGGGTGGTGAAAATCGGCAAATTGGTCTTGTACATGTGTACCCGATAGGGTGGATCGTTGCGCATATCAATTACTGGTTTGTCTTACCCAGACTGGATTGTTTACAGGCCACCTTCTCAAGGCCGGAATATTACTTGAATAGTGAGGCGTTAACTCACACAAACAAAGTATGTTATAATCTTATTTAAATCCAGTCAGTTGAAATGAAAACGAATGACCATGAATAAACAATATTCATATATTTAAATAACACTTGTCATTTTTTTCAGGTATGTTTTATTCTATTTATTTTAAGAACTATTTCTACAATTAATCTTTCTTTGTGTTTCCTTCATTACACAAAATGACATGAAACACGCTTCATCCCCTGGTTCACACGAGTGAAGAGCGATAAGCTTTACCCAGTACTCCAAAACTGGAGGTTGCTCTTCATGAGTGCCTCTATCTTACAAACCTCGACGTTACAATACCTCGGTTTCATACCTTTGACATGGTACATAAATACCATGAAAAAGATGGATGACCTGCGCAAATTCAGCCATCTCTACAGAGTTACATGTCCACTTAACACAAATTCTAATATTTCAGGGGGCACGGGTGGCCCAGTCGTCTAAGGCGCCGCGATTCGGTGTGCAGAGTTGCGTCCCTCGGGTACGCCAGAAAAATATGATTATGGGTTCGAATCCCGGGTCGCGCCGATTATGTTTCTAGGTTTGTTATCAACATACCCGTGCTCGGGGTTTTCACCGAAGTGGTAAACATCTGAGACCTGCATCACTTTGGGCTTTCCACCCACATTAAGCTGACACTCCGCGATATAACCGGAATATTGTTAAAAGCGGCGTTAAACCCAAATCACTCACTCACTCTAATATTTCAGTGCCACATGTGTTTTTTGGATCGGAATGAAATTTACTTTTGTTTTTTACATGACTTTACTGGAGCATTGGCTACCTTGGTCTGTTACAATCAAATTTGCAACAATCGCCAATGGCCACAGTATTCATAACACAACATCACAATGTGAGTTTGATAGGTACGTGAATAATATCTTTTAAAATCTGTGTGAAATTAGTCAATTGCATCTATACATTTTTAGTTCTCGGTATGATATACAAAGGGCTATACACAGAATGTTGTTTTGAAAGCCAGGTCTAGTTATAGCTCAAATGAACGGATCAAGTGATCTA